GGAGAAGGGACACCTCAGGCCGACTCACCTTCTCAAAACTTTTCAGGTGTACTTCATATCTCAGGTCAGCATGTGGTGGGATCTGGAACTTTTCCTTTCCAACACTGCCAAAAGCATAGCTGTGGGGGTGAAAATGCCTGGGTCACCTCACAGCCTTCGTCTGCTCTGGGCTGAAAGGCTTCCTGTTTGTTTCCTGGAAAGTACCTTCCCATCTTGAGACCTGGGTCTGGCAAACATTTCCCTAACTTCTCTACTACCCAGCTGGGCGGTGGCATAGCACTCACTACCGCCTGTCCTCTACATCTCCCTACACACTGTTGAGATGATTGACTCAGAGACAACGGAACAAGATCCGCTGTGAAGCCCTAAGAACTTTAGTATGTATGGTACACAGTAGGTGTTTCCATAAACGTTAACAACTGCATAAATTAATAGCAGATGAAAATCTAGATATTGGAAGGTAAGGGATTCAGATGAGGCTTGAATGCAAGGAAATACAGCCAACAGTGGGCCACACTTCCAGACCCAATGAGGTGACGGTGACAAGCATCCTCAGAGTAGAAGCAAGCATACAGGGCTTGTGAATGCCTATCACACAGCTCACGGTGGGCATTCAGCTATGTCCCATTGCTCTGCAAAGTGCCCGTGTCTCACCTAGGTTTGAGGTATACAATGGAATGTTCTCCTTTCTCCATGCGCTGAATGGCCGTCTCCAACCCATAAGGCAGATCTAGGCTTTCCCCTTCGCCGACTTCAAAGCAGAGCTCCCGCTGGTCAAAAAGCTGGTCATTACAGTAGCCTTCCAGTGCCACTGGCATCAAAGAGAGGCAGTACCCCAGATGTGAGGGGGCAGAGCATTGAGGAAGTTGCCACTGGCCTCCCCCATCTCCAAATTACCATTCATACCCAAGATAATCTGTGTCTCCGACCTGCAGGGATGCTAAGACAGTGTGGTCTAACTCCTTATTTTATGGACGAGACAAAAGACTTACAGGAAGGAAATGAATTGGTCCAAACCACCCAAGGCCTTTCATCTCTAAGCCAGGAATCATATGCAACTTTAGATTTTTCTTCCTACACCAGATTAACTTCGTTTTTTTGGTCTTTTTGAGACAGGGTTTCTCTGTGTAGCCCTGACTATCCTTGAACTCAGGCCTTCCAAGTGCTAAGATTAAAGGCATGTGCTACCACTGCCCAGTCAGACTACACTTTCTTACCTTCTACCATAGCACCATCATTGGGCCTGGCGTAGCCTTCACCGCGAGTCCGTATTCTGCGGATGATCCCGCCATCTTCATCTTCTGTAAGATCTTCTCCTCTGAACTCAAATAGCTCCACCTGTGGAATGAGATATAAAATGATCAACTCCTTTCTGCATCAACTCAGCAGCGAAACTGTTTTACTCCCTAGAGTTACCACTAACGGCTAGACAACATCTAGCCAGAAAGAAAGCTCTCTATCATCCTGCTTCATTTAGCAAGGACATGAGACAATCTGGTAGGCATCAGAAGTGGCCTGGCGTCTCAGTGGCCTTGTGAATATTCTCTAATGCCCACTGATTGGTTTTCTACTTTCAGCCAAATAGTCTTAGTTCTTCCCCTCAGCAGAGGTCACACCTCAGGTGTCTCTCCCTCCTGTGCTCCAGGATGCCAACACTTCGCACTACCCTCTATATCCCTGCTGTGTCCTGACCCTGGCTCCTTTCCACAAGGGCTTTGGAGCCCCCTCTTCTAACCCAAAGCTTCTAGTTAGTATTGGCCACCGTGGCAGCAGCAGAGCCAGCCACTGGCCTCCTACTAAAGCTAGGCCCTCAGGCTTGGCTACATTGTCTCCAAGAGGCAGGAAGGGCTGGAGGGCAGCCAGGCAATGGGGTGAGATAAGGTCTGGCTCTTTGCCTGGCACTCTGTGGCCAGCACTTACCTCAAATACAAGTGTGGAGTTGGGGGGGATCTTTGGAGGGCTGCCTGCTGACCCATAGGCATATTCTGGCTTGCAGGTGATGTGGCATACTTCCCCCACTTTCATGGTCACCACAGCAATATCCCAAGCTTTGATGACCTCCCCTGTAGGTAGAGGCAAACAAGACCTGCTTAGCAGGAGTCTAACTCTAGGCTCAATATTCACAGAGAGCCGCGCACATCCAAGGGGGATCTGAACATCTCTAGAACGGGACCAGAGACAAGCAGCAGCAGTGTTGACATTCCCACCACAACCCTGCAAAGAGTTCAAGAAGCAAGACTGTCCATCCCAAAGGGAGGGAGGAGCTAAATCGATGAGATGGGGATAGAAACCAACCAGTCCTAGAATAGTAGAAGAAAACACATGACAGATAATGGATGAGTTATTTTTTGTTGTTTTGCTTTTCAAAACAGATTTCAGTTAGTCCTGGCTGCCCTCAAACTCAGAAATCCACCTGCAACTGCCTCCTGGGTACTGGAACTAAAGGCGTGTGTCACCACTGCCCAGCAACCGATGGATTCTTAACCATTCCTCCTTGATCTTAGTTCTGGTGTTTTTTTGTGTTTTTCCTGTTTTGATGACTAGTTTATGCTATTTTGCCAAGGTTATCTTGGATTCCTTTGTTCAAAGTGACTCACTTGCCTCAGCTTCTTTGGTAGCTGGGAACACAGGTAAGCACTACTGTGCCCAACTCAAGCTTGGCTGAGAGAACATCATTTTTGCTTGTGACAGTTGCTATCAGCTTTGGAACCTACCCCGCTAGCCCACTAACCACGCCTACCTTTTCCCAAGTCAAAGGAGAATTTGTCCTTGCGATCCAGACTGGAGTCAAACTTTGTGCCATCTAAGAGCCAGCCAGTGTAGTGGACAAAGACCCGGTCCCCAATCATGGGTGTCTCTGTGCCTGTACCCTCTCTCTTGATGACCTGGGAGGAAGGGGGGGGGAAACGTGAGTACCCAGGGATGTGGGCAGAAGGGCCCTCATTGCCCCTAAGCCCCTGTAAGGCACGAAGTGGTTTCTGCTGCCCCCACTGCCTCCTGCTTCTTTATTAGCAGGTCCAAGAGCTCAATCTTCAAACGACTCTGATGTTAGTGGTTTAGCTTAGACTCAAGGAACTTCCCCGGCTCCCTCCAGGTTTGTCCAGACCGGTTTTGGAACGTTTCAGATAAAATGACCTCGGTTTAAACTTTGTCTATGGTTTTGGCCAAGTTGCTCAACTATCCAGAAACTGTCTGTCAAGCACTGAGGACAATTCCCATCCCCTGGAGGTGCTTGAAGAACACAGTGCTCGAAGAACACACTGATAAAGCGTGGATAGGAACTAGTGGGTCATCAGATCAGGGTCTGGCGTGAATAGAACGGAATCGGAATCGGAGTAACGAAGGGAACAGATCGGTTCCAAACTGGGAAAAGGAAGGGCCAGATTACAGAGCACAGAGGCTCTGCATCAGCCCTGGCAAATTAAGAGTTGGGAAACAAAATTGCCAGACCAGCAAGCTAAGGGGCCCTTTTTTTCAGGACTAGAGTACCTCCCATGAACATATAGGCATCTGCTTCTGTTTAACATTTTTATATATGGTGACCTCGTGGGCGGGCCACTAGGTGGATGTAGAACCATCCTCTAAAGGAAGGCTGATAAGAATGTACACGGACCTCAAAGGAGTGGAGGATAAAAACTGGCCTTCTGGGAATCAGAACCTTGCAGTAAACAGAGAAGAAAGGCCACATGTTCACAGGGGAGCGGCTAGAGCTGGGGGAGAAAGCCAGGAGCAGCATTTCTGGACCAACAAGGGTCCCTGAGGTCTCTGCTGAGCACAGGCCACACACACTAGGTACCGAGCAAGGGGACGCTCCGGGGAGAAACAATGGATGCAGGGAGCGCGTGCAATGCGGTTAGGATTTCACCGTCCTGGACTGCTGGCAGAACCTGCTCTGAACCGGCGCCCATTGTCCCGACCCAGGTCAGAGCGCCCTCCCCCTCGCTCCTCGGGCTATTTGCAGTCAGGCGATTAGTGAACAGCTGGCTCCAGGGCAAACCGCTTCCCCCAAGGCCAGCACCCCGAACCCCCAACTCAGGAAGGCTCAGGAGGAGAGGGAGAGGAACTACAGGTCCCGGCATGCACCGCTCCTGCTCTCCCCAGGCCGAGAAAGGGGGCACAGCATGGCCGAGTCCGTGACCTCGCTGGGTCTCGGCAATTGCAAAGGGGGCGCGGAGAGGCACAAAGGGCTCTCTGCCAGGAAACGGCTCCAGGGAGCCGTTTCAGGTCCTAGCTAATGTTTAACTTTCAAGTGGGCGAGCCCTGACGCACCTTCGCCCAGGTGGCCCGCGCACGCTGCGGCCGAGGGGTCCTTAGGAGGCGAGGCCCGAGCCCCTAGGCTCGCCCCGGCCTCGCGCCCCCCGCCCGGGCCCCCCGGCTACGGCCCTCGCGCTCCGCCCCGCCCCTCTCAGCCGCACAGTGCAGCCGGATCAAGTTGGCGTTGCAGTGGGGGCTCCTTCCCGGGCCGGGGGCCGCACCCTCCGGGAGCGTGCAGCCACCGTGCCATCTTTAGGGCCGCAGCCCGCACTGGGATGGCAAATTCCCCCATCCTCCTCCCGTGCCACCCGCTTGAGGCCCACGAGTCTCCAGCCGGGGTCTCCGCGGCCCCCTCTCACCTTGAGCACGCCCTCGTCCTGCTTGGGGCTGATGTCCACTCCTTCGAGCGGCAGGGGCGCCGACTGCGCCCCGTTTTCGGTCGCCTTCATCTCTTCGGCGGTCATGGCCGCTAGGCTCACCGTTGGCTGCGGGAGTGGGGCGAGCGCGAGCCGAGCGCTCTGGCCGCCGACCGGGGTGAGCGCACGGTGCGGGTGGCGTGCGGCACAAGGCGGCGCTGCGCACCGCGAACCTCGCTCCAGGCTCGCGCACCGGGCTCTCCGCGCGCTCACCGCCGGCTGCCGAGTGGGGCGACGCCGAGGGGCGGGCGCGGCGCGGCCGGGCCTGTGATTGGTCCCACTCGCCTCGGGGGCGGGGTCAGGAGGAGCGGCACGAGCGGGCAGCGAAGGGGCGGGAGCGGGGAACTTTCTAGAGAAGCGGTTAAACGGGTTGGGGATCTTGGGCTGAGGGCACCCGAGGGGGTTCTTTTGGTAAGATTTGTTTTTCTGGTTGATGGCTCCTAGGGGCGGCCTCCTCTCCCACTCCAGGACTGTACATTCTCGGATTTCGATGATCACACCCTTCCCCGCGTCCTCCCTCCCCACCCCCACCCCGCCGGCGTCTAGCCGCTTTTTCCAGATCCTTCTCCATCCTCAGGACGCCCAAGCCCGGGCCTGCCTGGCGGCCCGCCCTGTTCACCCAGACCCACAGCGCAGTAGCTGAATCCGGGCAGCCAGATGAGAAGTGGCCTGGGTCTGCCTCCCGCGATTAGACCTCAGACACCCGTGGCGTGGCCTTGGGGTCCTGGGCGTGGGCACCTAAGCCGTGTGGAGAATAGAGGCCATGGCAGTGAAAGCGTAGGCCCAGGAAGGAGCAGCTTCAGCCCTGGTGCACAAACCGTGGAACTCGACTTTGTCTTCCCTGCAGCCTGGCAGGCCCACCGAATGAGTGTTGCTTTCCAAAATTCTGTGAGCAGGAGATCTTGTGAGGGATGACCCTCTGAGCCAAAGATTTGTAAGTGGGCTTTGTGTATCATACTTACCAGGCTTTTTTTGTTAGTACTGGAGCGCAAAAATGGTTTCAGCTCAAGAGAGAAAAAACCCTTTCCCTTCTTACTAAAGGTGGACGGGAAATAGATGTTACCTTCTCAACCGCTCTTCCTAAGCGATACCTGTGGAGCTCCAAGTCTGCGTGGTTAAAACCGAAATAGTGCTGGCTTGATCGGAAGATCTGCCTGGAGAGGTCCTGAATCTGCCCTGCAACTCTAGTACACGGTTAACACATAGCGCCTGGTGAGTGCTACCAGATACCTATTGGCTTTGTGAATTTTCATTCCAAACTAATGAACTTTTTGTCTGTGTGCTGACCTGATGTTGTTCGGTGATCCCACTTAAGTAGGCAATAGGCAATGAGACCGGGCTGGCAAGATGGCTCAGTGGGTGGAGGTGCTTGCTGCGTGCCTGGGGACCTGGGTTTGATTCCTAACAACCACAACGTTGAGAACACAGACTCCTCCCTACCAAGCTGTCTTCTGACATCCACCCGTAAGCCCTATCATCCCTCCCAAATTAGTGTAATAAAATAAAAAAAAACCTTTACTATATTACTGTTAGATAATTCGTTGTAGTCCCTTCCGATTACAGTTTTATGAGTTTAATCAAAATCTAGGACCTCCTGAGTTACGAGAGACATTATCATAGACTATGGAAGCCGAGTAGCTACTTGTCCCGTTGTGAAGGCTCTTGTACGGCACTGGTTTGCACATGTCAGTTATCTCTCTGGTGGGCCTCTGGGTATTATCTGGCACAGCAAATTGTGATAGAGAAGGTAAGTTTTACAGTAGTAAGCTTGTATCTTTTCCTTGAAAATGGCATTGTAGGCTTAACGCCTTTATTGTTTTATTTTATTTTATTTTTTTTTTTGAGACAGGGTTTCTCTGTAGCTTTGGAGCCTGTCCTGGAACTAGCTCTTGTAGACCAGGCTGGCCACGAACTCACAGAGATCCGCCTTCTTCTGCCAGTCCCGAGTGTTGGGATTAAAGGCGTGCGTACCACCACCGGGCTTGGCCTAATGCCTTTGAGTTCATGCAGCGTTGACATTGCCTGCACGCTGCTTGAACAGGCATCTTAATACAGTGGACAAAACACGTGGTTAGCAATAAAGAAAGAGTTTGGTCGCCCAGGTACAGCTGGGTAAATTGAGGCAGGCTGCCTCATTTGTAAGCCTCCATTTATTGTTGTGAGCCCTGTAAATAGGGTGACTTGATGGTTACAAATGACGGAATGCCTCTGCGTTTCTGTGCGGTGCTGGCTTCCAGTGTTGAGTGAATAAGTGATGGTATCGTTGTAATGTGATGTGTGTGGGGATGGAGGTGAGTGAGCACAGTGGTAAGAGGGGCGGGTAAAGTGTGGAGACGTGAGGACAGGCCACCCCCTCTGTGATCTAGCAGCGGGGGTGCGGAGGCTGGCACACAGGCACTGAGGTCTTGAGTCCCATGGCAGGGTCATGTGATTCTGGAGTTTTTCCTTATTATGTATGTCACTTTTTTTTCTTTAAAAATTTTTAAACTTATTTTTTAAAGTTGATTTTACATGTGTGGGTGTTTTGCCAGGGAATCCAGGTCCTCTGGAAGAATAGCTGGCCTCAGCTCAAATGTGTTCTCCTCCTAGGAAGGAAGCAGGTGTTTTCTTCTCCTTCCTTCTCTTCACCCTTTTCTTCCCTGGCTCATTTAAGTAATATTCGCATTGTGTGAGCATGCATCCGTATGTGTGTAGGTATTTTCCTCTATCCCTTTCCACAATAAAGTTTTTACTAGTATGTGTGTATGGTGTGTGGTGTGTGTGTGTTTCAGTATGTATGTCCTTGAGCACACGTATGCAGATCAGAAGACAGTTCCCACCTTCCACCTTGACATGGAGTCCAGGGATTGAACTCAGTTCATCAGGTTTGCACCAAAAAGTGCTTTTAGTAGATGAGCCCTCTCAGCAGTCCATCCACTCTTTATTGTTTTTTAAATTTTTTTTCCTTCAAGACAGTATTTTTCTATATAGTCAAGGCAGCCCTGGAGCTCACTACGTAGACCAGGATGGCCTTGAACTCACAGAGATCTACTGGCCTCTGTGTCTTGAGCACTGAGATTAAAGGTGTGTCACCTGGTTCTCTCAGTCCCTGCACCTTTTGAGACAGTATCTTACCGAACTCAGCACTCACTGATTGGTTGCTCAAGAGCTCTGGGATCCTCCTGTTTCCTTCTCAAACAGGAAGTTTCTCTCCATTCAAAGAACAGGTCTCTATTTTGTTCAACCCTGTTTTCTCTGTAGGATTTTATCTAGATATCCCATGTAGAGAACGACACTTTCAATGTCTTCCACTGAAACTGTCATTTTGTATTTTTGAAGAATGACAACATGGAAGAGAGAAACCATTAAGAACAACAGAAAAGGATTCTTGAAAGAAACAGAAGTGGAAGCTAGAAAACCTGGAGCAGATCTTTCTAGAATGAAAACAAAAATTCAAGATGCTAAAGATGATGAAAAAAAGTCTTAAAAGAAGAAAAGGAAGTGAAATGCAAACAGGGTCAGGTGGGAGACTTGGCCTGTCTGCACCGAAGGTTTTGTGGATTTTCCAGGTTGGACGTCTTGCTTGTCTTTTCGGTTTCCAGTCAGCATACAAAGCAATGGGCTTCATTATGGCCTTTCATATACAGATATCACTCTCTTTTGTTCTCATCTCCCACTGCTCTTGCCTCTCTCCCACTCTCCGCCCTCTTCCTTTTCCCAAATGCTTTCCCTTTCTGTTCTCTTTTCCTGTGTGCACATTTAGACTCCACACACAGAGAAGACGTAGTATTTGTTCAAGTCTGGCTTATTTTGCTTAGCATAGTCTTTGGTTTTGTCACTCTTCCTGTATGGCTGAGCAGCAGTCCAGCGTGTGCATGTCACATTTTGAAGCATACTGTTGCTGGAGCCATCGGCTGCTCCCCAGCTTAGGGGCTGTGAAAAGTGCAGCGGTGAGTGGAAGCCTTGAACCCCTGCCTTAGGTTGGGCACCAGGTCTTTTGTTTTGCTGCTTTAAATGTCTTCAAAGCCTTTGTTTGCTGCTGGTACAGGAAATACATTTTATATGTTGGAGAGATGTTTCAGCTCTTAAAGGCTAGGCTCATAACCAAAATATCAAGCTGCTTTTTACTTGTTTTATGTGCAATTTTCATAACAAAACTTACTGTATAACCATTATCACAATTTTTTTATGTTTTGGAAGTGAGATCTCACCATGTATCTCAGAGTGACCTCAGACTTAAAAATCCTTATGTCTCTGTCTTCCACATGCTTGACTTAAAGGTCTGTGCTACTATGCCTGGCCATTTTTTTTTAACCATTCCCAAGTACAACCACACTTTTTTTTTTTTAACACAAGAATTTTCTATAGCACAAACTTGCCTCGAAATTTCTAAATGTGGTCAAGGGTGACCTTGAACTTCTGATTCCCCTGCTTCTACCTCCTAACTTCTGGGATTACAGGTGTGTACCACCATACCTGGCTTCTTATTGTTTTGCCATAGGGTCTTGTTGGTCTCAAACTCATAGTCCCCCCCCCCCTTGCTCCCTGAATGATGATATTATAAGCTCCCATGACCACAATTCTGTTTTAAGTAACAAGTTTGTGGTAATTTGCTGTCTCTGTTGTATGTACAGCATCCAGGCATTAGCAGAGGACATGGACTGAGTTAGACTCTCAGTCAATTTTGTTTAGTTCTACCATATTTGCAGTGAAAGGAAGAAGGGGTGTTGCAGGCGCTGGGAACAACAGAGAGCCACCCCAGGATGTACCTGAGCATCTGTGCACATCAGAGGACGAGACTTAGGTGAATAAATTTGCTGTAGGAGTCGAAGGGGAGAGTCATGAGGCGGCATCTGGTAGATGTTGGGAGCAGAGAAACTGGCCTCTGAGGCACGCAGGTTGTATTATCCCCTATACTGAGTTCCCTGTGTAAGAGGTGCAACATTCCAAGATGGATGATGGGCCGTCTCTGTATTTGTCTTGGGCACCTCAATTGCATAGGAGCTTTCACTGCCTCTGTGCCCTTGGTTCCTGTTAGGTCTCCAACTTGGGACAAAGGGCTAGCTGAGATTTCTGTTAACATATCAGTGCAGACACTGGCAGCCAAGTTCTCCCAGCATCCCTCAGTCCCTGCCTGTTAGGGGTCCTCGTTGCCATACCCTGACCACTATCCTGAACTCTCCAGCCCAGCTACTGTGCGAGGCTTCTCTGCTCCTAGCTCCTCTGGCCCCTATATAACTTGCCAGTTTTAGCAGCGTGTGTCTCTTGGCCAGTCTCTTGACCCAGGCTGCCCTTTTTGGTCAGAGGCTCCTCTCTTGATCTCCCTCCTCTGTCCTCACTGGGCTGGCTCAGTCTGGCCTTTCTCTCTACCTGCTTTCTCCTTTCTATCTATAGTAAACCCTCAACCCCTTAGGAGCAGCCATGTTCTCCTTTTATTTTTTTTTTTCATTCAGTTCACAAATAATGCCTCCAGTCCCAAACTGCTATTGCCTGTGTTAGGTGTTAGGCAAGTGTCCAGACAATTAGATCTGCTTCTTCTCAACCAGTAGGAGGTAAATGAGATCACGTGACTTGCTGAAGGTGGGTAGATCCTAATTGGTATCTGGATTTCTGTCGAAAGCTAAAAACCCCCAGAACACCAGAGACATGCTATCCTATCAGAAGGGGCTGAGTTTAAATAGAAAAGAACTAGTGGTTAAGTTTAGGGTCTTAACATATAAGCACCAATCACAGTGAACTGTGTCTGTCTTCTTAAAGCAGCGGAGATGTAACAGTGATGGCAGGGTACAGGGAGGAACTCGGGAGGATCCACTGTCTGCTGTTTAGTGGAGCAGGGTCTTCCTTCAACGACAGAGCCAACTGACACCCTAAACCCAGGAACATTGAGCTGACAAAACTGGGCCACCAACTAGTCATCCCAACTTGTCTCCAACAGCTGCCCCAGCAACTATACCACAAGCCAAGGGAGAACCCAGGCATTTCTAATGGCTCTCAGACTGCTACACAGATGCTATATTTAGTGCAAAGGTGGATAATGGGCAAGCTGGAGGGTAGAGGAGGATGGGGAAGAGTTGATTCAAGAAGAACAGAGAAGCCGGGCGGTGGTGGCGCACGCCTTTAATCCCAGCACTCGGGAGGCAGAGGCAGGCGGATCTCTGAGTTCGAGACCAGCTTGGTCTACAAGAGCTAGTTCCAGGACAGGCTCCAAAACCACAGAGAAACCCTGTCTCGAAAAACCAAAAAAAAAAAAAAAAAAAAAACCAGAGAGCTGTTCTTCAGTNCAGAGAGCTGTTCTCTAGTCCACCTAATTTTTGAGTTAGTTGCTTAGTGTGATAGGTTTCTCCTTTCATGTTTGTCTTAAAAATATATTCAATGATTTGTTTTCAAACAAATAAAAAGTAGCCTTTTTCCCATTGCCCCTTTTCTGTCTTCTCTGAACAAGTTTCCAAATCTTTCTGGAAAGCTTAAATCCAAGGGCATAGTAAACTGATTTGGGTTTGTAGCTCTTAGGTGCTTACACTAGCCTGTGATAGTCACCATGCACTTTTAACAGCCACACAACAACAGTATGTTTCTGGCGTATGAAAGCCTTTAAGAGAACAGGAAGAAGTCTCGTGTAGTTTGTGGTCAGTTAGTTTAGTTTCCTTTGCTTGAGCCTGGGCAGCAAGCAGACAGAAGCTGGCGATGCTGGCAACATCATCTGATAAGAGCAGTGAGTGTGTAGGTCTATACTGGAAAGGAAGACTGCGAGGGAGTGTGAATCCACCCAAGGATGAGTGCCTAGTTCATTTTGGAGGAAGAAAATGTCTTCTTCATTCCATGTGTTGCAATAATCAGACCCAGCATTTGCCTGGGATGATTACATGTCTAATGGTGAACTCATCCCTCATCAGTTTCCCACAGAGTACTCCACATGTTTCTATGTCACGGGCAGTGTTAGCATTGGGGAATTGGGAAACTTGTATAGCTTCAAGGTACCCTACCTACAATGTCATCCACTGCTGATGGGAGCATTTCTGTGCCGCTCAGCACTCCAGGTCTGAAAGACATGTCTACCACTAGTGACTTAGCTAGCCTACAGCTGTATTACGGTCCAAAGCCTGTGGATAACAGCCAGGTTGTGAATGCTTCTGAGGCCTTTCTAAATCAGGCCCCAGCGGCCCTCTGGCTCTGGCTCTATCTTGCTAAGCTCTTGCACAATTTTTAGTCACTCTTTTTCCGGCTCTTGGTTCTGGATCATCTCCTCAAAGGCATGGAACTGTTTCTGTTCTAACTGGTGCAGCCTTTGCTCTTTCCCCAGCTCTTGCTGAGTGGCCATGCTCTGAGAAAAATTCTAACTCTTCCTTCTTTATATTTTTTTTTACATTCTTGGGTGTGTGTATCCAAACTGCTTTTGGCTCTTCTACCTGGGGAAAAGCAAGTTCTTTCATTTCTTGACTGTATCTTCTCAGGAATGACAGCTGATTTGTAAATCCAGATATCTGGGGACTTTGTTCTATGATGGACTTGGTGTACTTGCTGTAGAGGATAAAGGCAGATTCAATATTGCTTTCTTCAGAGTAAACGGATGCCATGTAGATGACTTGAACTCCAGAGTGGAAATATTGACTACTGGGTGCAATATTGAATTCTTCTGAATTTTACTGCATTCTCAAGCTGGGGAAAGATCTTAACCCTATTTTTGGGTGGAAGGGTGATATTTCCATGGTCAGGCATCAGGACCAAAAGCTTTGGAGTCACAGACTGCAATTATATTAGAAGAGTGTGTTCTTTCGAGCTCCATGTTTGAAGACAGGTATGGTATCTCCTGACACGGGTAGTGTCTGTCAGTCACAGATACAAACCATACAGTAATATGGTTTGTCTGGGTTGCTGAAGCTACAAAACATGTGTGTCCAATATGAGAAACTGGTCACTGGTCACTTGGGATGATCCTAATTTGTTTATGGATAACTACATGGCAACTCCAAAGTTCTAACAGATGCCGATGGGTTTGGAGGGAGAATTATGTCATAAAGTAGGCAGTAGCCAGTAGAAAGGTCAAATTTCTAGCCAGAAAATGGGATTGGGAGAAGAGAATGGCAGACGAGCTGCAGCTATCCTGAATGGCTGAGCCTAGCAGGTGCAAGGCAGGTAGGTATATGACAATCCCTCTATCCTCCCTTCTTAGATTAGGGAGATCGTCTCAGTGTTTTTTTATGTGTTCCTTAACAAACTTACTTTTAATTGGAGGTTAGACTTTCATGTGGGTTCCCCAATGGGACAGATCATGGTCTTAAGGAGCAAGACAGCCCTGGGAACAAAGTGCCAAGTGTAGGGTGAAGTACTAAGGGAGTAGAAGACTGATGTCTTGAGGAGAGATGGGAAAGGAGGTACTTGAACTGAGTCTTGGAAGATGATAGGTATTTCCTAGTGCACAAAGCTAGGAAGGGTATCCAAGGCAGGCAGAGCACAGCACTACAACGTGCTTGATTAAAGAAATAGGAAGTTTGTCCTGCACCAGAGTTCTTAACTTTATCCCAAAGTTCTCTCCTTTGAAGTGGACTAGTCTATATTTTCAATATCAAAGTCTTTTATCCCTTGAAGTCTTAACTTGGAAAAGGTTCTACAGCCTTCCTTCCACTTTCTGAGTGGATTTGAGGCCCACTCCACAGAAGGGAATTCACATCTATACTATAAGCCTGATCAAAAGCCCAAGCTGGAGGAAGTCATAGACATGAGTTGGGGGAGTTTCTTCTGATATTTCAATATAATGTGCTCATCAAATGTTCTTCATGTGCTTGTGTTCATGCCCATAGATCCATGCTGCTGTTTGCTTTTGTCAGAGAAGCACCTCTTTGCTCTAGGCAGCAGCAGTTAGTGAAGAAAGAGGCTCGCGCATAACTGGTCAAGAATCAGAGACTCTTTGGGATGCTCAACCCTAAATGGGACATCTGTATCACCCCCTCCAAGGCTCAGGGAACATTGCGGAAGAGGGGGCGGAAAGAATGTAAGAGCCAGAGGAAGGGGTAGAGTGATGTGGAGTACTGTCTTCCAGTCATGGTGTGGCTATTGTCCTTTCTGCCTTCCAGCAGCTCTGATTACCTACATAAAATCTGCATAATATTTAACCCACCAACATTCTGTCATGGAGCAGGGAGCATCTGATGAGGTCCTGGTGGTCCCTGAGGACTTATAGGCAGTTAAAGGTTGCTAGAGGAGAGAAGGCACCACCCTTCCCTGAGGATCTGTAGGCAATTAGTGGTACCTGGGGAGAATTAGAGACACTTTGTCTCGTGGTAAGCTGTCCTGCTCCTGTAATAACCCTAACTGAGCTCATTGATTCACCAAGGGGAAAACAGGAGGAGGCTAGTTAAGAAGAGGATCAGCAGGAGTGAAAGGGTTCATGGGCGTGAATGTGGTCAAAGTATATTATATACATGAATGAAAATTTCCAAGTGTAACCAACTGTTTTGTTATTGACATATATTAATAAAACCAAAACTTAAAATAACAATCAAACAACTTGACCTCTTAAGAGAATGCCCATTTGGGGCTTAATCCTTTCAACATTGGGGGATTCTGTTAAAATAAGACATGTTGACTAGGGATATAGTTCAGTGAGAGAATGTTTATCTAGCATGGACAAAGCCCTGGGGTCAGTCCTCAGAACTTCTAAATAACTGCAAATGGCAGTTCTGGTAACATGCTTCATCTCGACTGTGAAATGTAGAGCAAAGTCCTTGGAAGAGCATGAGGACTTTCTATTGTGGAGGCCCAAAAATGTGAGCTGATTTCCACCTTGTCCAAAGGTCAGAGAGTTGGACCTTACCTATTCCTTCAAGGTTATTGTGTTTCTACCTCAAACAAAGGTCCCACCTAGATTTAGACCAGAGAGTTCTGCTCTCTCAGACCAGAGAGTTCTGCTCTCTCAAGATTATTGTCAACAAGAATTGACAATAATATATAGATTCCCTTAATATCCTTCTCCCTTAAGGAGATAATGTATTCCACCCAGGGAGTGATTTGCCTACAGAATGTTATGGTCTATGGTGTGAGTGTGACTTGCTTTGTTCTAACAACAGAATGTTTAACTATGGATGTAGCCTGCAACCTTCAACTGGTCTATTCATTTCCTTGTATTATGTTAATGCATTTTTTTAAAATCTTACTCCTATCTCTTAGGGTAGGGTATTTTAAGCAACTGGAAATTAAACGTGGATGGTTTCAGTAGTCACTGGACCTTCCTTCCAGTACTATTCTGTGTTTCTGTTTCATTTTTTTTACATGTGTCTTTGTATTCTTATATTTCTAATCCCTACACCCCTTCCCTGGCAAATAGTATTTTTGTTGAGGCTAGTCCCTGACACTACACCATCTAGATGTTACTTTTTTGATAGATCTCCTTCCCTTTTAACCTTCATTCACATAGGTGTATATGTATGCATTCGCACATAGAGATGTATGTGTAGTATACATATATTCTGGCTCTATGACTATATATACACATACCCACATGTGGTTAAGTTGTATAAAGTTATATACATCTCTTGTAGTTTTATTTTTTTAAATGTATGTTTTTCTGTTTTTACCTTTAGTTTTTTTGTTTGTTTTTTGAGACAGGGTTTCTCTGTGTAGCTCTGGCTGTCCTGGAACTCACTCTATAGATCAGGCTGGCCTTGAATTCACAGAGATTTGCCTACAACTGCCTTTTGAGTGTTGGGGTTAAAGGTGTGCACCATCACCACCTGGCTTATTTTTACTTTTCTAAAAGTAAATATGTTTGAGTGTTTTGCCTCTATGAGTGTGTCTGTAACATATGTGTGCAGTGCCTTCAGAAGCCAGAAGAGGGCATTACAGACCCTGGAATTGAAGTAAATGGTTGTGAGTCACATACGGGTGCTGAGAATCAATTCCAGTCCTCTCTAAGAGCAGATGGTGCTCTTCACCACCAAGCCAGCATCTCTATAGCCCTGTATGCGCTCTTCATTAACACACAATTATGAAATTAATTTGAAATAAGTTAATTAACCAACTCAGTGCTTTTCTAAATGAAAAACAAAATGACATCACAAGTCTGAAATCCAAAGGAACAATCTTAGCACAGCCAACTCTGGTAGGTATTACTCCAGACTCAGAAGAAAGTGCTGCGGCCTGAGCTTGGGGGTCAAAGGTGAGTTCTCTTTAAATGAAACCATTCGCTGAGTCCCAAACTGCTAAGAGAGACTTCCATCATCATCATCATCAGACCCAGGAATAGGGCTCTTAGCTTTTTCCGAAT